GGGGATCAAACTCAGGTCCTTGCACTTGTGCAGCAGACAGCGAAACCACTGAGCTAAATCCCCGGCCCAACTTCTAAAATCTTTTACAAATTTATTTTATGGCTTTGATACATAAAATCTTAAAGAAAAAATGTTGCTGACCTCTATCTTTCATTGTCATTATTTTCGTTCATTTTCCAATAAAATTAGTCTACTTCAGTCCTAATACATTTAAAATCTACCAATTAAAAAAAAATCCCATTGAGTGACTGCTCTCAATACTTTTTTCCATCTTATGTGACCTCAAAACAGTGGTAAATTTGCAATATTTTGCCTGCCAACAAGTAAACTTTTCAGCTCAACAAGTCTGGCTCAGTTTTGTAGCACTGTTAAAATTGCAACCATAATACCATGAAACAATCACCTCTCCACTGTCTTTAACTATACCTGCCCCATTGGCTCCTTTGTCTCTGCCTTCAAATAGCACCAAGTCTCCCAAATCTGGGCCTTAATATGTTTTAAACCACCCACAAGGTCCTACTGCATTTCATAACTATATTCTATTCCTTTCTGGCTCTTTATGACAAACACAAAAAAGAAAGGCTTGATAAAAGATGAAACACTTAAATGAAATCCAGAGTCCAGATTTGTAATCTTTTGCTTGTTGCTAACAAGCTATGTGACCTTGAAAATTCTATTTTTAAATGACAGGTCTCCATTTTCCAATGAGTAAAATAAAATATTGGCTAATATGGTCTCAAGACCCACTCAGTCATTTAATCAACACAGAAATATACGTATCTATAGTGGGTACCAGGCTGTGACAGATCTCAGACACAATGATATCATGACTAAATTATAATGGTGTCGACTTAACAGAAATAACTTCATTTAATAAACTACACTTTGTGTAAATACCAAATAGTTTCTCTAGTGTGAGAAACTGAAAGAGTAAATAAGGACTAAAAGGTATAATAATGTGAAATAGGAAGAAAAGGGGCAAAGGGGAGGGGAAAGTGGGAGGGGTAGGGGAAAGGAAAGAAGGGAACGGAATTAATATGAGAAAATGAAAAAATGGAAACAAAGTCTTTATAAATAGGGAGGAGTGGAGGGGTTGAAGGGAGGGCAGGGGAAGGGGGAAAAAAATAAGAACCAAGAGAGATTATGTAAAGGTGCAAATTTCCAATGATGAATGTCATTATATTGTATACTTAAAATGTACCAATGAGTGCGTACCTTATTCATTATGAATATATAATGTTCAATAAAAGAAATTTCAGTTTTTCAACAACAAAATAATAATAAAGTACACTTTTAAAATACCATAGTTCTGTCCATAGGGAGGCAGTCACTGTGAGAACACACAGGCAACACAACCTAAATGCAATTTTTTTCCCATTAAAGTTTAGGTTCTAAAAATCCAAATACTATAAGAGCTATATATTTTTATTTCAAGATATTCTTAAAATTTGTTTTATTACTATATAAACAAGGAATCTGTGGTGAGAAAACCTACTTCCCGTTGGAAAACAAACAAGACTTCCATGCTACTTTTTACTTCAAAGCAATTTAAAACAAGGTATGGGTTGAAAGTAGTAATT